TCTCTCTGTCAAATAAATAAATAAAATCTTAAAAAAAAAAAAAAAAAAAAGAAGCAGAGAGGGAGAAACAGCGCAGGTGCGGTCATGGGGGGTGGGGGGACTGCAAGACAGGCAGGAGTGTGTGAGGAGGTAAGGGTCCCGGAGCGGGGGGAGGGCCCTACAGAGAAGGGCATTTCCCCCAGAACAGGATTGCCAAGGCCCTCGCATTCCCCCAACCCCAGCTCACTTCCCCGAACACCTTGGAATCACCCCCAAGGTTTGAGGAAGGAGCTAGAACTGTGTTTCTCCTATTGTTCCTGTTCCTGTTCCAGAAGGGGAGCCTCCCACCACCCCCCCTCATTTACCACTTCCCAGCCATCTGGGGGGACCGGGCTCCCAGATGATGGGGCCCACGCCAGCCCCCATTATGAGGAGCTTCTACCTACAGAGGATGAAGAGGAATCAGAGGACCACGAAGAGGAAGAGGAGGCGGAGGAAAAGAAGGAGAAAATCCCTCTGCCACCCAAGAAGGTTCCTAAAGAGAAGACTTCTGCCGGGGTCAAGGAGAGGAAGGCCAAGGCCCAGGGTCAGAAGGGTGAGTGTTGAAGGTACAGAGGGACCACACAGACTCGGAAAGCTAGCCCTGTCCTTCGGGGGCTTGGAGGCCTCAGTGATAGGCGAGAGTTGAGACATCAGAAAGCTCCCTGCTCGGTGGGGAGTCTGCTTCTCCCTCTGACCCTCCCCCCTTTCAAGTTACCAGTGCCTGGACGCAAGAGTCTCCTTCTCTGGTGTCTCCCCCATGACGGTCCTTAAGTACATAGTACGTGTGCTCCCCCTACGCCCCACCATCCCCACCACTGCCTGCCCAGGGAGCTCTGTGAGCCAGGTAGGACAGAGGATTTTAGTTTTGTGATTTTTTAGTGGTTTTTCTTTTAACTCAATATGTATTATTGTTATAATTTTCATAAAAGTATCAAAGCCATTACGGTAAAAATCAGCCAATGAAATAAATGCTATCACGGCTCTCTGGCCTGGGCACCTCGCCCTACAGGTACCGCAGGCTGGTCTAAATGGGGACAGGTAGCTAGGACCCTGGGCCTCTGTGGGAGGGAGAGAACACTGTCTGTAGCACCTGCCAGAGGAGGTTTTCTGGGGAGATGGGGTGGGAGCTGGGAATCAGAGACTCAGTTAGAAGGCCCGCATTCATTCATTCATTCATTCATTCATTCATTCATTCATTCTGTAATGTCTATTAAGCTCCTGGTGTTTGTCCAGCCCTTTACAGACTCAGGATTAAAATGCAACAAGCAGGGTGCCTGGGTGGCTCAGATGGTTGAGCGTCTGCCTTCGGCTCAGGTCATGATCTCAGGGTCCTGGGATCGAGTCCCGCATCGGGTTCCCTGCTCGGTGCAGAGCCTGCTTCTCCCTCTCCCTCTGCCACTCCCTCTGCTTGTGCTCTTCTGTCTATCTCTCTGTCAAATAAATAAATAAAATCTTAAAAAAAAAAAAATGCAACAAGCAGGGTGCCTGGGTGGCTCAGTTGGTTGAGTGACTGCCTTTGGCTCAGGTCATGATCCTGGAGTCCTGCGTCGGGCTCCCTGCTCGGCGGGGAGTCTGCTTCTCCCTCTGACCCTCCCCCCTCTCATGTGCTCTCTCTCTCTCATTCTCTCTCTCTCAAATAAATAAATAAAATCTTAAATAATAAATAAATGAAATAAAATAAAACGCAACGAGCAGAAGACAGACTCTGGGCCCTTGTCAGGTCTTCAGCCTCCCTGGGGACTGAAGAAATGATGAGTGGGTTGGAAAGTGGCCTTCAGCCCCAACAGGCTCTTCTCTGTCTAACCCCTACCTCCATTTCCAGGGGACCTGGGAAGCCCTGTCCCCCCAGCCAAACCTCTGCGCATTAAGAAGGAGGCGCCAGCGGGGGAGGGGCCCAAGATGAGAAAGACGAAGAAGAAAGGTGAGACTGGTCTCCCGAGGAACAGGGGACTCTGGGTGTGGTGGTGTGTGACTCCTTCACATCCACCCACACAGGGTCTGGGGAGGCTGACAAGGACCCCTCAGGGAGCCCAGCCAGAGTGAGAAAGAAGACTACAGCAGCCATGTTTCTGGTTGGGGAAGAAGGGCCAGCTGAGAAAGCTCCGAAGAAGAAAGGTGGGTGGTCGTGGCCTCTGGTGCCATGACATCTAGAGGCCGTCCTGGGGGTGGGGAACCCAAGCGCAGTGTGGGGTGAGGAGAGGGCTCTGGAGTCAGAAGACTTGAGGGGCATCTTACTCCCCACTTAAATAGCTGTGTGGCCTCAAGCAGGTATCTGAGCCTTTCTGAGTCTCTGATAATAGTAATATGGGAGTACTCTCTTGTGGTTGTGGGGAGGGTCCAAGTAAGACGTGGGTGTTAGAAGTGCTCCACAGGGTCAGGGATTCACAGGCTTGTACCCCCTCCATGCCAGGCACTTCCAAAGGCCCAGAAGAGGAGAGGAAGGAGGACGAGGAGGAGGAGGAAGAAGTGGCAGCCGTGGGAATGAAGAACAGCAATCAGAAGGGCAAAGCGAAAGGAAAAGGCAAAAAGGTTGGGATCCAGAGGGGAAGGGGGCCGAGTCCCCTTCAGGGAGCAGGGCAGGGGCCTGGGCTTGGGGGACTAGAGTATGGAACCTCGTGGGGAGGGGGGGGCCGGGGGTTAGAATCTTGGCTCCCTCTCTGATGACACGATAGGAGGACAAAGGTCACCAGACTTGTGAGAACAGAGAAGGCGGTTGAGGGGTCACTAGGCTGGGATTGGCTCCCTGCGGGCCTGATGTTATCTGGGCTCTAAGCCCTCCCCTCTGCGGCCTAACCAGCAGCCCCAGCCAGAGATGCTCACAAAGCCACCACACGAAGAGACACCCCATCTTCTGTACCAGAGAGGGAGAACACGCAGGCAGAGTGTGCTCACTGACTGTGTGAGTTGTTAAAATATTTTCACGCTACTGCTCTGGGGCCCCAAGTGCTTTCTGCCACCGAATCCGGGATGGCCCAACCTTCCCGCAGCTGAAGAGTTAACACAGGCAGACAGGTGCCTCCAGAACCCTCCTCCAGGCCCACCAGGGTCCATTTGGACAGACCAGGCAGTTTCCAGGGGCAGAACAGGTTGTTAACTCTCTTGAATATTGCTCTTTCTCACAAATAGGACTCAGGCACCAACATGCACAAGCCGGGGTAAGCAGGAGAGGGGGGCCAAACTGGAGAGAGAAAGTGATGAAAGTCTTTGAGAAATTGGGTTTCCACAAGTGGAGAGATCACCCTGAGGGCAGAGCCGGGGTCCGAGCCATGTGGGTTTATTAGTTTGTTCAGGAGTGGTCAGGTCTTGGGGGACTGACTCACATTAGCCAACATCACCAGATACCGATATATAAACTAAAGGCCAGTTTCTTATCTCCCACGGGGAATATAACCGCAGTGCCGCCTTCAATACAGTAGGCCCTAGAAATTTACAGCTGTGGAAATGTTTGAATAAGCTCTGGCTTTCTCCACATCACATTCCAAACATAGTCTTGCGTTTCCCAAGTTTCTTCTGGAGCAGCCCAGAGTGGAGAAGAGATGCTCCCTTGCCCGGAGGCTAAGGGCCTGCTCACCGACACCAGCCTCACCTCACACGTAGTCCAAGCCTGCCCTCAGCAAAAATGGCCGACCGCAGCGTATCAGGGATTCTCCGTAGCTCTCATATAGCACACACCCAGGCTGGCAGTCCCCTCTCTTCCCTAGTGGGAAAGTTGGGGTTACGGTCTTGGCTCCCCCTCTTAGGAGGGATAGAACATGAGGGCAGAGGGCACCAGATCCAAAGGGGCAGCTGTGGGGTCACCAGGTCAGGCCTAGGCCACCCTAGTGTGGAATGCAACCAAACTGTGATTCGGAGTTTTTCCATGAGCAAGATAAGCTTATTTATTTATTCATTGTCTTACCTCGGTATTGCAGTCTGACAAACTACCCCCAAAACTTAGTGCCTTAAAACAACAAACATTTCTTTTCTTAGTTTCTAAAAGTCAGGAATCTAGGAGGGGCCTAGCAAGGTACTTCTGGCTTGGGGTCTGTTCTGAGAATGCAGTCAAGATGTCAGTTGGGTCTGCAGTCACTTGGGAAGCTTGGCTGGCAATAGAGGATTCACTTCTAGAATGGTTCACTGTCATGGTTGTTGGCTGGAGCCCTCTCCATAGGGCGGCTTGAGTGGTCTAATGACATGGCAGCCTACTTCCCCCAGGGCTCAAGAGTGGCCCAAGGGAGACAGCAAGGAGAAGCCACAGTATCTCTTATGACCTGGCCTTAGAAGTGACCCCTCCCCCCATCACTTGGGCTATATTCCATTGGTCAGAAAGACCAAACTCTGATACGATGTGGAAGGAGACTACACGAAGTGTAAATACCAGGAGGCAGGGAACACTGGGGCTCATCTTGGAGGTTGGCTGCTGCAGTCATTGATAATTTACCAAACACTGTAATGATATAGCAGTAGCTAATACTTCTATAACACAGCAGTTCATACCTTTGGCCCCACCTCAGTTCACCCGTTGACACAGTGTCCACACGAAAGAAGGTCTTTCTAAGGCTCTGGCTCTGGCACCATTTTAAGCCCAGTTCCACTTCTTACTAGCTGTGTGAACTTGGGCAAGTTGCTTAACCTCTCTGAGCCTCAACTTCTTCGGTAAAATTGGACAATTACTTCAGTAGTTACCTAAGAGAATTAAATTAGTTAATATTTGGAAGATACTTAGAGCTATGCCTGGCGCATTGGTAGACTTTATAGGAGTGTTTGTTAATATATAAATTAATAAGGTCTCTCCCGGGGAATCCATCCCCAACCTCTGCATTTCTCAGATGAGAAAACTGAGTCACAGGGTGGTTCAAGTTAAACATGACAGAGTTAGTGGTGGAACCAGGATTTGAACCCAAGCTGTCTGGCTCCAGATCCCAGGCTCTTAACCACAAAGTGAAGCAAAATAATAATAAAGCGCCAAGCTCCGCAGAGCCGCCTAGCATGGCCTGCTGGGCTGCAGGGGAAGTGAGGGGCCCAGCCCACTGTAGCTGGCCTGTCTGTTGTCTTCCACACAGAAAGCGGTGAGTCGTCCTGCCTGCCCTGCCTGTGTCCCGGCACTGGGGATCTGCTGAGGGCAGAGAAGCCAGGGCTCCAGGACTGATACACGCTCTGCCCCGACCCAGAAGGAAGAGAGAGCCCCATCCCCACCCATAGAAGTGGATGAACCCCAGGAGTTTGTGCTCCGGCCTGCCCCTCAGGACCGGACGGTGCGCTGCAGGCTGACCCGGGACAAGAAGGGCATGGATCGGGGCTTGTATCCCTCCTACTTCCTGCACCTGGACACAGAGAAGAAGGTGGGTAGGGGGGAGACAGCAGGGGAGAGAGAGTGCAGGTGCCAGGACCCAGGCTGGGGGGCGGCTAGAGCCAAAATGGGGGTGCGGGTGGAGTCCGACGCAAACAGGCCTTCCCTTTCCCCTCACTCACCTCCTTCCTTCACCTGTCTCCCCCTCTCCCCAGGTGTTCCTCCTGGCAGGCAGGAAGCGGAAACGTAGCAAGACGGCCAATTACCTCATCTCCAGCGACCCCACCAATCTGTCCCGAGGAGGGGAGAATTTCATTGGGAAGCTGAGGTGGGGTTGGGAAGCCCAGGGCCACAAGAGACCATGGCGAGTCACTTCCGTCTCCCTCTGCCACCACATTGGGCACTCCAGAAATGTCCCCTGCCCCAGGGCTTCCCACACTTGAGTGTGCATGGATCACTTGGAAGCATTGTTAAAATGGCCCAGTGGGTCTGGGTGTGGGGCAAGAGTCTTCATTTCTTTTTTTTTTTTTTTTTAAAGATTTTATTTATTTATTTGAGAGAGAGAATGAGAGAGAGCAAGCACATGAGAGGGGGGAGGGTCAGAGGGAGAAGCAGACTCCCTGCTGAGCAGGGAGCCCGATGCGGGACTCGATCCGGGGACTCCAGGATCATGACCTGAGCCGAAGGCAGTCGCCTAACCAACTGAGCCACCCAGGCGCCCCAAGAGTCTTCATTTCTAACAAGCCCCCAGGTGATGCCCGTGCTGCTGGACCAGGGACCTCACTTGACATAGGTCATAAGGGTCCATGAGGACAGGGACCATGCCTGTCACATTCATGGTTGAATTCCCAGCACCTGGTACATAGTAGCGACTCAATAAAACATTTACTAAGTGAATGAATAAACAAATATCCAGCACCTACCCTGTGCTGTGTCTCCCCATATATCTCATCTAATCCTCACTGCACATCTGAGAGGTAAGGGGAAGGGGGGAGCCCCGAGTCAGGTCTTATTTCTTATATTTTTGTATTTAACAAACACTTATGTAAGGCCTACCTACGTGTCAGGCATCGTTCTAACTTCCAAACATGAATCCATGTAGTCCCCTTATTGACCAAGTGGTAAATACTGTTATTAGGCCCATTTTACAGAGGGGGATGTTGAGGCTCAGAGAGTTCAGCCTGCCTAGGGTCAGTAAGAGATGGAGCTGAGATCTGAAGGTTGCCCAGTGTCCTTCCAGATCCAGCTTCTAAAAAGACCTCATGAGGGGAGCCTGGGGCAGGGGACAAGAGTTGTTCTGTCCTAAGACACCCACACCCTTGACGTAGGAAGCTCTCCAAACTGCCTGGCTATGAGGAAGGGTCTTGGAGCAGGGGTGTGGAGTCCCCCCAGCCCTGCCCCCAGCTGCACCCTGCTTGCAGGTCCAATCTCCTGGGCAACCGCTTTACCGTCTTTGACAATGGGCAGAACCCGCACCGTGGAGGAGGCAGCACTAATGTGGGGAGCCTTCGGCAGGAACTGGCAGCTGTGATCTATGTGAGAACACCCCCCAGCACCCCCCTCCCGGCAGGACCCTCCCCTTCGCAGGGACCGGCCTAACAGGCATCTCCCTCCCAGGAAACCAACGTGCTGGGCTTCCGGGGTCCCCGGCGCATGACGGTCATCATTCCTGGCATGAATACGGAGAACGAGAGGGTCCCCATCCGGCCGCGAAATGTAAGCCCAGCACCTCCCTGACGCCTCCCCCTGAGGGTCCTGTTCCCATGTGATCCATTCATGACCCACTCCTGGGGAGCTGGGGGGCAGGGGCTCAGGTTGCCCATACCCAACTTCCTGGGCACACTCATCACCCTGTGTCACACATTCATTCTGGAAACTCGGATGAATTAGGGGGTTTTGTAATTGAATTCACTGGAACCAATACAATGAGGTGCTTTTTTTTCCCCAGTGTACACCAAATCATCCATTCATATATTCATTCACTGAATGAGTTGTATATTGTGTATATCGTACTATACACATTCAGCGTATAATGAGTGCTGAGTATTATTCTAGGTAACTGGAAGACATCAGTGAGTAAAAAAGATCTGCCCTCCTGAAGCTGACATTCTAGCGGAGGGGACGGACTGTAGACAATAATTGTGACAAATAAGTAAATTGTGTAGAATGTTAGAAAGTGACAAGTGGTATGGAAGAAAGAAAAAGTCGGAGTGGGCCTCATTGAGAAGGTGACGTTTAAGCAAAGACATGAAGGAGGTGAGGGAGCAAGCCTATAGATATCTAGGGAGAGAGCATCCAGGCAGAGGGAAGAGCCAATGCAAACACCCTGAGGCAGGATGATACCCGGTGGGTTTGCGGTGAGAGGTGAGAGTCTCAGATAGGACCCGTATAACTGGTTTGTACTGGGAGAAACAGGAAGCCACAGCAGGGTTCTCAGGAGTGACTTGATTTGCCTTCTATTTTAAAAAGCAAAGGTTGCGTGTGTGTGTGTGTGTGTGTGTGTGTGTGCGTGTGTGTGCGTGTGTAGTCTAGGGTAAGACGGAGAGATGGGCCGGGGAGAGGTGGCCATCTTCAGTGTCAGTCGCTCGCTCCGCAGGTCAGTGAGCCCGGGACTGCAGAGACAGGATGACTGGCGTGCTCCATACTCGCAGTGATGTCACTTTACTCATTTACAAGGAAAAATAACACCCGTCAGCTGATCACACATCCTTCCATGCTGGCAAGTCACACCGTAATCAGAGGCCTGGCCAACCCGCGGGGCTCGAGGCACGGAAGGCTGTTAGTCTTGAGGAGCCGCGGGTCCCACAGCTCCTCCTTCCAGGCCCGGACTAAACACGCAAATGCTCCAGAGGCAGGGCCTCCCGAGTGTGTCTGGGCTTGGTGAGAACTCCCCAGGGCCGCTCCGGGTAACTCTTCATCATTTCACCGTCCATTCATTCTACAGTCGTTCATTAAAGCCAGGCACTGAAGATCCAAAATCAGCAAACAGGAACCATCAGAACAATCCGACATTTATTGAGCATGTACTCTGGGCCAGGAACTGATCTGAATAACATGCCATGCACTATTAACTGCTTTAATCCTCACAAGACCCTGTTGTGAGGGAAACTGAGGCACAGAGCCATCAATAAAATATGATAGCTGCCCTTTAAGTATCTAATTCTGCCCATTACAGGGTAGTGGGAGAAATAGTAAGAGCAGGTGTTATGGAGGGAGACTCCGAGCTAAGACGTCTAAATCAGACACGGGGTCAGGGAGCCTTCTCGGAGGACACGATCTTGCGCAGACTCACTCTAAGCCACGAATGTGACCAGTGCCAAGGGAACTCAGGAAAGAAGTATCTCAAGAGCGCTATCACGTAGGCACCACTCCTTCCTCTGAGAAACTCTCTTCTGGGACATCTTATTTTAACCACTGTTTACCTGTCCGTCTCCCCAAACACAACCGCGAGCTCCGTGTCAATCACAGCGTGTCTAGTGCATCCTTATGATCAGGTGCCGGCATGTGGCTGTTCCGAGGACCCCTTGGGTGCCAAGGGTGCAAAGCACCTACTGTGTGCCAGATGCTACTTCCCAACCCTCCACTTCGGCATCCCACGGCGAGACCCATTCTCACAGAGGTCCACCCTGCCCACAAGGATACTGCAGAGACCAAGCTGCTTGGTCCTTGGTCAAGGATGCCCCGAACGGATGTCCATGTCCAGTCTGCACACTAGCACACACATGCAAAGGCATGCACAGGTCCCCAGGCCCCTTCCCCTCGGTCCTGAGATATCTCGGCCACCCCTAAATGTCCTCCCCCTAACACTCCCCTTTGGCACCCCAGGCCAGCGATGGGTTGCTGGTGCGCTGGCAGAACAAAACACTGGAGAGCCTCATCGAGCTGCACAACAAGCCACCTGTTTGGAACGAAGACAGCGGCTCCTACACCCTCAACTTCCAAGGTCGAGTCACACAAGCTTCAGTCAAGAACTTCCAAATTGTCCACGCCGATGACCGTGAGTATCTGAGGGCCCAAGTCGGGTTGTTCCCCACCATCTCCAGGACCCTGACCCTCCCTCGGGCCTTTCCCCACCACCTCTCTTTCTCTCTCTCTCTCACACACACACACACGCACGCACGCACGCACGCACGCACGTGCACAAAGCTGTCCTTTCTCGCTGGAGCCAGAACATCCAGGGAAGTCACTCCCTCCTGCAGGGGCATTGACAGCTTGTTCCCAGGAGCCTCAGGTATTCCAAGCAGGTGTCTCGGGGCTTACTGTCGCAGGCCTTCTTTCTAGCATTGACCAGAGCCTGGGGTAGATACTGGGATATTCTGGGTAAGAAAGACTGTGTTGAAGGGAGAGTTAATCTGCTGGAGCTTGAGAACCACTGATAGCCCAACCTCTACGTGGTCAAAGAGGCTGCTGAGGCTCAGAGAGGGCGGCGCCTTCCCCAAAGTCTCTCAGCGACTCCAGGAGGTCCCACTGGCCATCAAAATTTATTTCACAGACACACAGGGCTTTCTATGTGCTAGGCACTGTTCTCTGGACTTTACAGATACTGAATCTTTAAATCTTTGCAACAACCCTACCCCTCCAAAACCTGAGGAAGATATTATTATTGTCCCTACTTGGCAGATGAGAAAACTGAGGCATAGAGAGGTTAAGTAAATTGCCCAAGGTAGTACAGCTGTAAGAGGTAGAGTTGGCACAAGAACCCCGGTGGTCTGGCTCCAGGGCCCCAGCTCCCAACCCCTTCAAGATGGCCGCCTTGCAGGGCTAGGGAATATTAATCAAGCATCTCTCAATGCCTGCTCTATTGTCCTCTCTCAAGTAAGGTCAAAGGCCTGCCCTCAAGGAGTTAGGGAAACAAGATATGCCCAGAACACAATTAAGTAAAAATGTCCCTGTTAACAGGCCTGGGGGAGAGGTTCCCAGTAGGGTGAGGAAGTTTGGGATGGAAAGATACCTTCCAAGGGACTCCGGGTTCCCAGGATTGGCTGACACTGAGCAACTTCTCCATCCCCCACTCCATCCTAGGGATGTGTCCCCAGTGTCACCTGTCCCAAGGCCTTGGAAAACTGCTCTCCAGATCACATTTCTGGTGGAGCCTGGTCTGCAGAGATCAGGGGTATTTTTAGCAACTTCCTGTCCCTATGGATGCTGGGGGAGGTGTTTGGGACTGGGGCTGGGAACCTGGACCAGATATGGGATGGGGCTGAGTGGAGCCACTCGATAAGGTAGGGACTCAGGGGGCTAGTGAAGGGAGAGAGCCTGGCGGTCTAAGATGGGACTTGGGGGCTGGGGATGGGAAGAAGGAATGAGGCCAGAGCCATTGTCTGGGGGAAGTGTGACAGGTTCCTATATTTAAGTGCCTGTCCTACCCATAGCCCTGGGTGGCAGAAGATAAGGCAGGATCCCTGCCCTCAGGGGCTTACAGTCAGTCAGAAGGCTGGTCAAGCGGCAGGCGGGGCCGGTTGGGCCAGATAAGAAGGGGTGGATGGGTGGAGGGTGAATAATTGAGTTGGTCGCTGAGGATTAGGGCCCCAATGCAAAGGAGGGAGACTTCTCCCAAAGTTGAGGACACTGTCTGCCAGGACTGGGACCCCAGGAGATCTTGCCCCCCCACCGGTCTGTGTCTACAGCCGACTACATCGTACTGCAGTTCGGGCGCGTGGCCGAGGACGCCTTCACCCTAGACTACCGGTATCCGCTGTGCGCCCTGCAGGCCTTCGCCATCGCCCTCTCCAGTTTCGACGGGAAGCTGGCCTGCGAGTGACCCCAGCAGCCCCCAGCGCCCGCCAAGGGCGGGGGAAAGGATTCAGTGGAGGCTTGCAGGGTCCACTCGCCAAAGCCCCCACTGAAGACTCCTCTCTTGTCCGGGGCTGACCCCTCACTGTCTCCGAGTGACCTCCATCCACTCCCCAGCCCGGCACAGGCCGAGGCAGGGAGGAGCTCAGACTGCGGTCCGACAGAGATGAAGAACATCTGGAGTCGGGAGCCGCACATCTGGTCGCGGAGCTAGCCTGAGCCGCTTCACCAACCGCCCCCCTTCCCCGCCCCGCGCCCCAGTCACTTCCTGCCCAGGAGCAGTAGTCAGTGTTGTTTTAACCCCCTCCGGGATCGAGGAGTGGGGCGGGCTCGGAAGAGGGGGTAGGTGATGCGGGCGGAACACCGGGTACACACATCCCCAATAAAGCCGCGTCCCAGACCCGGCAAGCAGTGGTTCTTCAGCGCGTGCCGAGAACGAGGCGGCGGGAGGGGTCCGGAGCGCGGGAGAGGTCCGGAGGGCGGGCCGGAGGCCTGCCTCCCCACCCCCCAACCCCGCTCCCGCCCAGGCCCGGGGCGCTCCCGCGTCCCCTCCCCCGCGCCCAGCGCCGGTCCTACCGAAACTCGGCGGGCTCGTGGTGTCGAGACGCCCCCCGCGGGGGCCCCGGGCCGCGAGGGAGGGCCCGGAGGTCCGGGAAGAGGGGAAAGGGAGAAATTCGAGAAACAAGCCTCTCGGGGAGAACCAGACAAACCGGGTCCGGGCAGGGCGGGCGCAGTCGCCAGGGCGGGGCGGGGTCTGGGGCCCCGGGAGTTGGGGGCGGGCTCTCGGGCGCGAGGGGGCGCTCCGCCTCGGCGGCTCGGGACTGGGGTAGGGGCGGGGGGGTGTGGGTAGGGAGCCCCAAGGCCCGTGCGGTCCGGCTCCGCGGGGCTCCTCGTGACGCGGCACCTCGACGGGAGTCCAGCCGGCTAGGCGGGAGCCCCGCCCTCGGGCCCGCCCAGGCCTGAGCCCCAAATTGCGGTGGGGTCCTGGGGAGGTGGAGTAAGGCCCGGCGTGCAGGGAGCGGTTGGGAGCGTGGCACAGGCAGGCGAGGAGGGGAGCGCCTAGGCGCGGGAAGGCCGGGAGCAGCGGCGGGTCGCGAAGCCGCGGGGTGGGCAGCCCGAGCGCCGACTG